AAAAAAAAAAGGAAATAACAAAGATAGCCATTTGCTATTCCAACACTTCGCCTTTTCTTACTTCCACCTCAAGTAGGATTATCAATACCAATTATTATTTTTATGTTCTTGGTTTCAATAACATTATTTTTTGCGGGAAATATTTATAATAAATTACTTATTGAAAGGCTCAAAGAAGAAGAAAAAAAGAAAGTCAAATAAACATATAATAATTAAATGTTGGTTGATATATCTTTTTGGGGTTTAAATTTGGTTGAGTTTTTTGGTGGTGGTTTAAGGAAAAATGAGAAGTAAAAATCAAAATCATAAAACAAAACTGGAAAAAATAAAATTAAAGAATGCCTTCCAAAACGAAAAAAGAAGATTTAACACAATTAGTTGCACACTTAACAGATCGAGTAAGTGCACTTGAAACAAATCTTTCATTGATTTCTTCTCGTCTTATTAGATTAGAAACAAATCAGAAAGATATGGAAAAGACAATTGATAAGATTGCTAAAAATGCAAATAAAGAAGTCACACCAGTTATAGAAACACAACCAGTTATAACAAAGTATTTTTATGAACCATATCTTGATATATTAAAGAAATGGACAAATAAAGAAATATGTCAAGTTGTTTATGATTCAATAAATGATGGATTAACAGCACATACTATTAATCATGCAATTGAAATGAAATCGAATATTATGATTTTAGTTAAAACTGATAAAGGGGAAATTTTTGGTAGTTATAATACTACTCAAGTTCCAAAATCAGAAGATAGTGGATATGGGTTTTATATAAACAAAGATATGAATTTCTTTATGTTTAGTTTAAAAGGGAATATTAAAGCACCAACTAAAATTACTAAAAAGGATAAAGTTTATTCATTAAAAGTTTATTCTAATGATAATGATGAATGGGTTATTGGAACTCATTGTGGATTTTATGTTGGTGCATCACGTAATTCTTTTATTTCTAATAAATTAAAAATGTTTTATGATGGAGATATTACTTCAGATTCATTAACAGGTTCACATTTTCCAGCTACATTTGATGTATCACAAGTTATAGCTATTCAATGGAAATGAAATTCATTTCAAATGAAGTAATAGAAAAATACTAATTGAATGAATATAAACAAAGAAAATTTATTATTTTAATTTAATAATAATACTTTTTAATTTAAATTCTTAAAATCTTAAAAAATAAAATAAAAAAAATAAAAGAGAAGAAGAATGTTAAAACCAATATCAGGAGAAGAATTTATTAATTTTAGAAATATTTGTCTTAAAAATGATAATTTTACTGAATATAGTAAAGAAGGAAATACAATATGTTATCAAGGAATAAATATTAAACCAGGATATTTTTGTACAAAAGCAATAACAACTGATTTATTTGTAAAATATTCAGTTCAACAAATTTTTGATTTTTTAAATGATGAAAATTTTAGAAATCAATGGGATGCATTATTAATGAGTAGGGAAATTATTAAACAAATTGATGATTGTAATCAAATTATTCATTATTGTACAACCCTTCCAATGATTTCTAAACGTGATTATGTATATTATAAAAGTATATGGATGAGTGATGATAAAGAAGAATTTATTATTTTAAATAAATCAGTTGATATTCCTGAATGTCCTGAAGTAAATGGTTTTGTTCGAGCATTATGTGAAATGAGTGGATATATGGTTAAAAAGAATGAAAAAGGAGAAAATGTTTTTTATTATTATGCTTATAATGCTTTTGGTGGATGGGTTCCAACTTGGGTTGTTAATTCGTTAATTTCTTCTCAAGGTTATTCATTATTAAAAAAGTTGTCTGAATGTTGTGAAAAATATCCAGAATGGAAAAAAACCCATAATCCTGAGGAAAAACCTTGGAATTTATTAAAAGATAAAGTTATAATTCCTAAATAATTGATAGTTTTAATTAAAATATTCTTTTTTTGGTTTTTCTTAATTCATTCTTTTTAAGATGATATTCTTTTTTTAATTCTTCTTTTTCTTTGAGTTTATTGAACAATAAATTATTTATTCGTTCTTTTTCTGAAAAATAAACTGGATCAATTTGTTTATCTAGTACTTTCTTTTTCTGTTTAAGATGTTTTACTTCACTTTTGATAATAAGATAATTTCTTTTAGAATCCTTTGTTTTAGTTTTCTTATTATTTAAAAACAAAACAATTACAAACAATATAGAAAAGTTCAGCAAGTGTTTTTTTATTTTTTTCATTCATTTCTTCTGGTCTAATGAAACATGTTTGACTAAATGGATGTTGTTTATTTAAAGAAGATGATAATGGTGTTGGATGATTTGTTTTTATAATTGGTTCACTTTTTGTTTGTAAAGGTAATGATGTCTCATTACTTTTAGGTTGTTCTTTGTGAGTCATATCTTTTTTATTTGTTTTAATTATTGGTATTGATTCATATTCTTTAATATTTGTGTCTATTCCTATTTTATGATTTGAAAATAAAAGGAAATGAAAAGAAACAATCAGTTCATATTTTCACATCGAGTAGGTTGAGTGAAATTAGGAGAACAAAGGTCATACCTCACTTTAGCTCCTTTGAAAGTATCAAACTCTTTCATAGAAACTTCATCATTTGTTTTACCAACTAATAAGATTAGTTGGTCAACATTCTTTAAAAAAAGAGGAGATTCATCACCATTTTTTTTCCAATTAGGAACATCAATTTCATCATCCAGAATCTCTCGTTTCTTTCTAGCATCAATGACTTCGGGAATAAAATGAATCCCAACCATATGTATATTGAATTGTTCTGCAATTGGTCGAACAACATCAAGAATTCCACGTTTTGAAGGAGTTTTTACAACAACATTTGTTTGAAGAACATTTCCACCAATTCTAATAAAAGTACTTAAAGCTTTTTCTATGACAACTTTTGCATTATTTTCATATTCAGTTACATCTCCTATAATTCCAATTTTAAATTTTGTATTTCCAATTTGTATTTTATTTGCTAATTTTCTAGCAAGGTTTTTGTTAAATCCATTGATAAAATACATAACAACACAAAAAACAACGACTCCTAATATTTTTAATAAGTCATTATATGATATGAAATCTTCTATCATATTTCTTTATTTATTAATTGTAGATAAGTTATTTTTAAATAAAAAAAAA